CATTTGCACGCAGCTTGTATATCTCATTTGCACGCAGCTTGTTTATCTCATTTGCACGCAGCTTGTTTATCTCATTTGCACGCAGCTTGTTTATCTCATTTGCACGCAGCTTGTTTATCTCATTTGCACGCAGCTTGTTTATCTCATTTGCACGCAGCTTGTTTATCTCATTTGCACGCAGCTTGTTTATCTCATTTGCACGCAGCTTGTTTATCTCATTTGCACGCAGCTTGTTTATCTCATTTGCACGCAGCTTGTTTATCTCATTTGCACGCAGCTTGTTTATCTCATTTGCACGCAGCTTGTTTATCTCATTTGCACGCAGCTTGTTTATCTCATTTGCACGCAGCTTGTTTATCTCATTTGCACGCAGCTTGTTTATCTCATTTGCACGCAGCTTGTTTATCTCATTTGCACGCAGCTTGTTTATCTCATTTGCACGCAGCTTGTTTATCTCATTTGCACGCAGCTTGTTTATCTCATTTGCACGCAGCTTGTTTATCTCATTTGCACGCAGCTTGTTTATCTCATTTGCACGCAGCTTGTTTATCTCATTTGCACGCAGCTTGTTTATCTCATTTGCACGCAGCTTGTTTATCTCATTTGCACGCAGCTTGTTTATCTCATTTGCACGCAGCTTGTTTATCTCATTTGCACGCAGCTTGTTTATCTCATTTGCACGCAGCTTGTTTATCTCATTTGCACGCAGCTTGTTTATCTCATTTGCACGCAGCTTGTTTATCTCATTTGCACGCAGCTTGTTTATCTCATTTGCACGCAGCTTGTTTATCTCATTTGCACGCAGCTTGTTTATCTCATTTGCACGCAGCTTGTTTATCTCATTTGCACGCAGCTTGTTTATCTCATTTGCACGCAGCTTGTTTATCTCATTTGCACGCAGCTTGTTTATTTCATTCTGAAACTGAATATATGTATTCACCGTGAATGCAGGTGTCCTCCCGTGTGACGTGGGGATACGGCTCCATTGTTGCGAGAGATTGGTACACGGAGCTCCCAGAGGCCGTCTGTGATTTGGTTGATCTAGCAGGATTCGGGCCCTTTTGTGCCGGGATATCTCGTTATCCAGCTAGCAGGACGTTGATGGGCGCCCTGGTGGAGAGGTGGTGGGACACCACCAACTCCTTTCATTTCTTATCTGCCGGGGATATGACCATGACCCCATTTGACTTTGCCGTATTGACCGGCCTTGACGTGGGAGGCTGGGCGATCCCATATGACGAGGATATGGGCCAGTGGGAGGCCGCTTGGATCTACTTACTGGGAGCTCGTCCACCGGTCGACCGATCCTCAGGCCGAGTCCGGTACACTTGGTTTTCTTCACATTTTAGGCATACTGAGCCCGAGACTCTGGAGGAGATTACACAGTACACTCGCGGGTTTCTGATGTCCCTCTTCGGGACCACTCTGTTCTCCGACAGGGGGAACACCGTTGGGCTATATCTGCTGGGTGCCCTGGCAGACCTCACACAGGTTAGTCGGTATGATTGGGGTAGCGCCAGCTTGGCTACCCTATATTGCTATATGAGCGCGACCTCCCGCGGACGGGGGAACATAGTTGGCGGCTATTGGAGAGCCTGGGAGGTACCTTCTGCCCTCTTGTTTTACATTTCTGCTTTTCA